CTAAACCCTTCAGAAGAACTTGATGGCTCCACTACAACTCAACAACATCAAGGAGAGCTCTTTTCCCTGTAGGATCAATGGCACAGCTCCCAACCAAATGCAGCAGGTCCCCATAAAACACACAAATGGCTCCTGTTCCCAAGAACAGACACTTTCCCCCAGGCAAGAACCTGGTGGGATTTCTCTCCTCTCCCTGTATCTGTACAGTGCAGGGCTCCAGGAATGATCAATGAGCTCAAGGTACTCAAATATGCATTTTCCCCAGTTAATTTCCTGCCCAACAGTAATAGATCAAGATCTGAAACTATTTTCTTTCTAAAATAGCCTCTTAAGGTGATTTGTAAGGCTCCTCAGTGATTCAATTTTTGTAGCAGAAGATTGTTAGATTGAATAGAGACACTAACTAATAGAGGGGGCCTTGAAAAACAGGTGAAGGGGTTTGTGGCTGAACAGTCCTGGCACCACAAGTGAGAAGTTGTGTTTCTTCACAGAAAAAAAACTTAATTAAAAAGTCACCCCCACTCAGGGTAGCGGCAAAGACCATTTAAATGTTTTTTATTACATTCTGATAAAAATTACCCATCTGCTGAACACTTAGGAAATGAAATCCATATTTGGATGAGAAAATTGTCTGATTAGCCTCAGTTTTGTGAAATTTTGTTTCAGAATAAAACAAAACCACTGAGCCAGCAGTGAGATCCATATTCCACAGTGCAGGTGTCCGTGGCTCATCTCTTGTTCCACAGTCAAGCAGAAAGGAAGGAAAAGGAAGGAAATGAGTCTGAAACCAGAAGATTGGAAGAACTACAATGGTAAGTCCAAATAGAGTTGAAAAAACCAACATTAAATAATCAAGAGAGCATTCCTTCTTAGCCATACATCCCAAGCGAAATAAGTCCAACATCCTGTGTGCATCTTGTCTGGGATAAACAAGTATTATTCCTCAAGTGAGTCAGAAGGGATGATTTCATGAAAAAGCTCCAGGAGATTTCTGGAGTGGAGGCTTCTAGAAATCCTCATCCCCAGCATTATAGTTGGACTAGCTGCTCTTGAAGGTCTTTTCCAGCCAAAATGATCCTGTGGCTCCATTGGCTCCACACCAAACACAGGTGGGACTTGAGTATTGCCATTTTTGGTGTGTGACAGGGTGGTGTAACAGGTCCCTGGGTGAGAGGAATGTGGGGGACAGGGGAATGTGGGGGACAAGTGACATCAAGCCCAGCCCTCCCCCTCCTGCCCCTGGAGAGGCCCCTCAAACGCAACCCAAATTTACAAGGACCAGGATGGGCTCATCTCTGAGTGTATGAATTCAGGGTTTTTGTCACTATTCTTCTTTTAGAGCTATAAATCATCATGAGAAATATAAGGACCTTCAAGTGTTCTTTTCATTCATGTATAAAAAAGTGCAAAACTTTAGGTTAAAAGCAGCCTCCCCAAAATCTCCAAAAACCTTTCAAAGATTCCATAGTATGAAACAGATCCCCACAACTCACAGCCCCATTACACTACGTCTGAAAACCCCAAGAACAGATCCATTGCAAATTTTGTGGGTGGATCTTCACATTTGCTTTTAGTTTTTAAAAGGGATCAGAATTATTTTTGCCTTCTATTAATCTTTTAAGAGTTAAGAATAAATTATTTGTGCACTCTCCTCCCCCAGCTCACATTTGCATTTTCATGAAAGGTATGGACTCAATCTTAATGCTGGGCAATTAAATATGTTAATTGGCAAATAATTGTTGCTGGATTGGTTTGGTCTGGCATAAAAGTACAGAGAGTTTTGAATTCAGCAGCCTTCTTCGCTGGCCAAAAATTGCTGCTAAATTTTATTCTTTGAGCCATAGACATTGGATTAGAGAGGGGAAAAAAGGGAGAAATTTGATCCTGTGTTTCCACCTTCCTCCTCCCTGATTCCTTTAGCCTCAAAGTTTGCCTCTGAATTCAATAGAGCAGCACTGGAAAAATAAAAGAGATTTCAGCTGACCTAATTTCACGCATTGCACAGCTACAAGTGTCATTTCTACTTTTACTTAAGCTAAAAGATTATGAAAAAAATCCAACCTTTGCAGTATTTCTCCTGTTTGGAAGAGAAACGACAGCAGGAATTGTAAAGCCAAATCTCTTTCTTTCAGAAAACCAAACCAAAAATACTCACAATATCCCCCATCCACACTTAAGCCTAACATTTATTTTGGTGCACCACAGGATTGAACAAAAGGATTATAGGATGAAAGAATTGAAATTAAACACTGAATGGGCTCATCAACAGTAAATTAGGACTAAAGGCATGGCTCTGTAACAAAAAGTATTGGGGTTTTTAATAATTAGGGGGGTGGGTTTGAATACAAAGAGACTACAGTAGATGGGAAGTACTTGAATTTCATCAGGAGCAGATGGGATCCTGGAGAAACTTCCTACTGAAGTCCAGGAAAAAAGGCACTCCTGGATGAAGTTACTTTGGGACATCATTAATTACTGTGGCTAGGGAGGATTTGGTGACACGGCAGGTCAAGTAAAACATGAGAAACAGAGAAATTATGAGCTAATGAAGCAAAACGCAGCAAGAGGGGCAAGAAACTGAATCAATATCCACAGCTCCCACCAGGAAAATGGAAGGTTGGCATGCTGGGTGCAAAGAAACAGCCCATAATTTCTGCCAGAGATGATTTTTTATTTATTTTTATTTATTATTCTGCTGTTAAGAGAACTACACTGGTTGGAAATAACTACTGCCAGAAGAATACATCTTTTCTATGTTATATTTCAGGTTACAAATTCTGTTCCTGCACATCAGAACTCCTCCAGGCCCAGGCCTGAACAGAGTTTTCTATTTAGCTGTAAGAAACATATTTCCAAGCAATTATTCCTGTAAGCATTGCCTCATTAGCTGGGTGCCATTTGCTGAGTCACCAGTCCCCCACCTTGGCTTAAATCCATTTCCAGCTCATTTTTTCTCTATTACACCACTGTGAAATTTATCCAAAATGCTTTTAGCTACATTTACCCTTTCCTGAGCACAGTGCAGAGGAGGAAATCAGTTCAATTTGTATCAGGGTGCTGCATATTCCTCAAGAAACAGCATTTCTGAACTGTTCCCCAGAAAAAGCAAGAAGAATTTTGGCTACAGGCAGCAAATTTGTATTCACTTTAACAAAGCTGCCCTATTCAGGCCATATAAGAGAATATTGCCAAGAATAAAATCAAGCGTGGTTCTGATACATAAATTGGCACAAGCCAGGCTAAAAATATCCACCCCAAAATTATGTTTAGAACACTTTGAAGTAAAGGAGTTGCTGTGTTTACTCAGTCACAGGACACTGCCATTGAAGAGTGATGGCCCTTCCCTTCCACTATATCACCTGGAAGAAAAAGGATTCTGAACAATCTTGAGATAAGGACAGAGAGATGAGAATTTGCCATATGAGTACAAAGGAACAGAAATGCAAACCTGAGGGATCCCTTTTTCCCCTTCAGGAGATTGAACTGTTGCTGTCCTGTCTTGGCCATCTGTGTTTTGCACACTTCACCATCAAATCTAACTAGAAATGGCTCCTCAACCAAAAATCCCCATTTTGTTCTCCTCAAAGATGCCTTTTTGGAGAGATGTGACGCTGCCAGCATGAGCACAAATAAAAATCCCACGGAAATGTGATCCTTTTTTTTTTTTTTGGCTTTTTTCCCCAGCCTCCCCTGAGGGCTCTCCACAACCCCCCACTGTCCCATGATCCTGTTTTGCTTCCCACAATTATTCCCACTGCTCTCCCGTCCTCCTACACTGCTGGACATGCCAGAGGCCATCCCACTGCCTCTCCTCCACCCAACCCAGTACATTCCTCCTCAAATCACCACCACCAAGGTCAACCTTCACCAGCCTGATGGCCCCACTCCTCCCCTTCAATAAATTACTAAAATCCAGTTAATTGTATGCCAGCACAGAGCAAATATGTGAAATATGAGCAGCTTGTCCACTTCAGTGTCAGGAGTGACAGTGATTATGACAGGGTGTAAAAATGGAGAAAATTAAATTAGCTTTCTTGTACATTATGGGCATTAAATATAAAGTGGGGTTGAGCTGGGGGATGGAAGGGAATAAAAGGACATTTGGAGAGCAATTAGGAGAGCAAGAAACGAAGACTTTTGACTTGATAGCAAAAAAGAAAGCATAATTCAAGCAGGATTGAAGATTTCCCATGAAAGCAAAATTACTTTACTTCCTAACTGACAAAACAGAGGTTTCTAAACCAAAATCCAGATGCCAAAGTCATAAATTTGTGCAATTACAGCTTTACCCACATGGAGTGCCATGGATAATGAGCAACTTCATTACAGACATTCTGAAACCACACTGTTTTCACTTATCCCACTCATTATTCCCAAGAATATTCAGGAACAACTCTGACAGACTTTGCCCTTCAGTGTTGTTAAATTGTTCAAAAGAATAAACCCTAATCAGTTATCCAGGGCTGTAGTTTTTAATTACCAGAGATCACTGGCAGGACATATTTCTGGTGTCTTTTAATTAAATTCAAACAAGATGCTCTGAGGAGGAACACGAGCTACTGGTGCCATGTTTCAGGGTTCCTGAAGTATTGTTTCTCTAGCAAATCCTCACTGTGGATTTTTTCCCAAGTTTTTGGTCATTAACAATTCTCTCAAGCTCCTGTTCCAATCACAACTGCTGATTTATGAACAAAGTAAAGTTTACAGTTAAAGCCTGCACAATGAGTAAGACAAAACCAATTTTATGCTCGAGTCCAACACTGAATAATCATAACTTAAGATTTTATCTTGCCTGGTAAATCAACAGCTTCAGAATATGCAATCGTCAGTAGATGCTGAAGACATGAAACACAAAACACACTCAGACCTTTCTTTCTTGCAACCTCTTTTCCTACCAAACTACTTCTTCAAGTAATAACTGGGGGGGAAATAACATTCCAATGAAATTCCAGAGGCATCCCAGCCCTCCCACAGCTACACCCCATCAGCCAAACCCTTACCTTCATCATTCTGGGCCAGAGCCCATGCCAGGACAGCAGCGAGTGCCGCCCCCACTGTGAACCATTTCCAGAGACAAAGCTGCTGGACCATTTTCCGTCAAACTTCACTCAAGGCAGAGCTGGAAAAGAGGGATTTGACACACTTATTACTCAACCTACACAAAGCTGAACCACTACAAACTCTTTCACAGGTAACTACATAGGGGATATGCAGTCTCTAAGAGCATGGCATTGTTTCAGGCACAAAAACTACATAAAATAAGGAAGAAGAAGCCTATTAGCATGAATCAAGATGTGCGTACTCATTAACTCGATAACTGTGCATGCACAGCCCTCCAGCTCAAGAAAATGCAAGGTTCTGGCCTAAACCAGGTCTGATTTCCATAATTTCTCTGCAATAAAGTATTTGTGCTATCCTTCCTAATTTCAAGCATTTTGGAGAAGCAACTGTAGCAAAGAAATTGGTCTGATTAAATTGAGGGCTCACTGCAAAAGGCTAGAGTGACCTAGGATTCAAAGGCATTGCCTAAGAAAAATGGGAATGGTCCCTGAGGTTGGTCTTCTTTAAGGACACAGGTTGTTGGGTTGTGTCCAGGAAAATGAGAAAAACGCTACCAACACCAGACCAAAAAGCCCCCACAACCAAAAAAGTAAAATTAAAAAACAAAGAACAAACAAAATAAACAAAAAAACAAACAAACAAAAAAAAACAAACCAAAAAAACCCCAAAACAAACAAACAAAAACAACAACAAAAACTCACCAAAAATCCACAAAATAAAAAGCCAAAAAGCAAGCAAACAAAAACAAAACAAAGAAATGAAGAAACCACCCAAGAAAAACAAAAACCCAAAACAAAACTCCAGAAACTTCTCCCTTCCCTTCCCCCTTAGACCCCCAAAACAAACAAAAACCACTCAAAAAACCAAAAAATCCCCCACTAAAATCCCCAAGACGGGTCTGGCTGAACTCCAGAGCATACCTAGAGTGTGGAACATTAGAAAGTTAAAAAAAGCTCTGGCTCATAGTTCCAATAAAAACAATTAGCACAATTCTGCAGGCCAGAACTGAATTATTTTAAAATATTCCTTCAAACTAAAAAAAAAAGTTTGAGATAAAGGAATGAAGACATTTTCAGCAATATAAACCAAGTTATTGTATAAAAAAACAGCTGCATTTATTAAAAATCAAACAAACTTGTAAACAATTGTGTGCCAAGAGTTTTCAAGGAAAACCTGTGGGGTTTTTCCCACAGGAGAAGGAGAGCTAGTAGAGAAATGTAATAAACCACACTGAGTGGCTCATATTTACTCAAGTATTTAAAATTCCTAGGTTGTTGACTATATATATATATATATATATATATATATATATATAGTTTGCTTGCAGGACAGCTCACATGGGTGGAATCTCTAGGACATCAGAGGTTTTTCCCAAATTCAATTATTCTATCCTGTGATTTATGAGGCTCCCTCACACCCAGCACAGCTCCTTTTCCCTTTGTAAAAGCCGTGGGTTGCAGGTGACTTTATTGGATTTTAGTACCAACATTCTGGAGAAATAAAGTGCAGCAGAAAAGTAATTTCAAATTCTACACTGCATATATTACTCCACTTCTCATCTGGGGCTTAAGAATGGAGAGGGGCCTTTCCAAGCTCCACCTCTCCTCAGGTTGGACCCTTCCCAACCTGTCCAGCAGCAGGAGGTTGGTGCAGGCTGCAACAAGCAGCAATTCCAGGAAGAACTTCAGTTGGCCATCAGACAAGTGAAGCCCCAGCACAGATCTCATGGGATTGTTCATTTCCATTTCGGACCAATGTTTGTCTTGACAGAGCAGCTCCAGGTCACAGAACGCAGGAATTCAAGCCATGCAAAGCACCCTCCTTCCTCCTCTCTCCTCCTTCTCTTTCCTAGCCCCTCTACAGCTGTTTCTATTCAAATTCCAGCAGGGAATTGTGGAGTCACAGAATTCTTAAGGTTGGAAAAGACCATTCAGGTCATTAAGTCCAACCAGCACCATGGTCACCACTAACCCATGTCCTCAAAGGCCACATCCACACATGCCACCACTGCCCTGGGGCAGCCCCTTCCAGTGCTTTACAAGCCTTTCCATGAAGAACCTTCCCCAGCACAACTTGAAGCTGTTTCCTCTCATCCTCTCACCTATTCCCTGGGGGAGGAGACCCAGCTCCCCTCTCCTCACTAACAGCTTCTTTCAGGGAATTGTAGGGAACAACTTTAGAAAGGAGAGAGCAGCCCTGACAGCTCAAATGGGAATTTGTGACAAAACAGGAAGTTAGAGACAGCTCAAAGGAGACTTCCAGGGTCTTCCCAAAGGAGCTATTATTCTTATGTGAGAGGAGACCAGAATTGCTCAAAAGGGCCTTTTCCCTCCCTGCTCTTTCCCAAAATGCTCATTTGGTTACTGTCATCCAAACTTCCACTCAGCACCTTCAGAAAAAGACCCAAAATTACTTTTACCATGATATATTCCTGCTGACTACTTGGAAATCAAGGCTGTTTCCACATTATCTAAATAGATTCCAATTAATCATCATTATCAAACCTCCTGGGAATTTTGAGGATGGGAGCTTCTCACTATTTCATGACTATTTCCTCCCCTGTTAACAAAAGTTCCAGAAAGAACTGGGCTCAGCTGCTTTTTCACTTTAGGCAGTGTTATTCCATTAGGTGGTATTTGCCTCCAACCTTTTACACCTAAAATCCCAGAATTCGGAAGTTCAGGAGACTCTTGGTGTCTTCAGGTCAGTCTAAGGAATATCCCATTCAAGCACAGATTTTAGGTGTTATCAGACCTAAAGAGAAGTGCACAAACTCACTTCTGAGGCCTCTGATATTTGATTTTACAACCTTGAAAAATAAAATAAATCCAGCTCTCCAATCACAATGTTCTATTTTAGAAAGTTATTCAGAGCTCAGCTGACACCCTTGAGTGGAGTCTGCTCCTGAGAGATTTTTAGGATGGAATCTTGACAGATTTATTTTTGATTTTGATGAAATGTCAAGTTAAACCACAAGGATAGCAATACTGCTGCTCCCAGAATAAGCAACTCTCTATGCAACTGAACTACAACAGAAGAAAAATCCTGGTTTTTTCCTTCAATTTTTACCAGAGGAAAAAAAAACAACAAAAGAACAACAACAAAAAAACCCCACAAAAAACACCAAACAAAAGAAACAACCCTCCCCCCCAAAAAAACCCAAAACACCCCACCAAAACAAACCAAAAAAACAACCAAACTCCCCCCAAAAGCCAGGAGTATAAAGTACAGAAAATGAGACCATTAAGTTCAAATGATTCTACTAACTTGGAAATAGCTCAGAACAAATCACAATTTACCACAAAGTGCCAAAAGGTTGACAGCCTCTAAGAAATAAGGTTGAACTCCAGACAGGGCAAGGAACAACTATGAATTGATGACAGAAGGAAGATCTGTAAAGTAAAAGCACACAAAATGTCTACCAGACTCAGAATTTTCCTGAAAAATATTCTAATTTTAAATTTTAAGAGATGATGAAGGTAAATTAAAAACAAAACCAATCTAAATATGAGTTATTACATCCAAGCACTTTGAATGTATTTGGAGAAAGAATAATATGGCAGTAACTTCCAATAATTATTTACTTTTAGACCTGGTTTCATTACAGGATTTAAAACTTTGCATTTATTAGAAGCTGGAGCAGGGAGGAACATGGTCTTGGTCAAAAGAACTAACCATTCTCTGGGCACCCTGTGCCAGGGCCTGCCCACCCTCTCAGCCAGGAATTCCTTCCCAGTATCCCATCTATCCCTGTCCTCTGGCAGTGGGAAGCCATTCCCTGTGTCCTGTCCCTCCATCCCTTGTCCCAAATCCCTCTCCAGCTCTCCTTTAGGCTCTGGAAGGGGCTCTGAGCTCTCCCTGGATCCTTCTCTTCTCCAGGTGAACACCCCCAGCTCTCCCAGCCTGGCTCCAGAGCAGAGGGGCTCCAGCCCTCAGAGCAGTCCAGTCCTCTGGACTCGTTCCAACAGCTCCACATCTTTCTTGACTACTTGAAAGAATTCAACGGGGAGGAAAAAAAAAAAAGAAAATCTAAATTTTGGGCCAGGCTTGCCACAAGCCAGAGCCACTGGCTCCCTCACAACAGAACTGCCACATCCACACCCAATTCCATAGGAAACATGGACTATGGAAGTGCCCACAGCACCCAAACTGCCACCAGCAACAACTTCTCTAAGTGTTCTCCACGAGCAGCAAATCTGAAAACAACTTGGAGGTGAACACTTTGCAATTTCTGCTCCTACAGTGGGTTCAAAGCCCTGAAAAAATTCAACAGAAATCACTAAGTGAGCATTATTAATTCATTGGACATGGAAACAAATATTTGCTATTTAATATATTTGTCAAAAATAACGGTTCCTGAGAAACTGCTGTGGCTGGATGAGTAACTCAGCAATTAAAAAGTAATTAAATACTCATTTATATTTGTGCTATTAATTACACAACAAACCTGAACTCCTTCAAGTGTCAGGAGTGCCTCATTTTGCTTAGTGGGGATGCTCTTTGCACCCTACAATTGTGATAAATCTTTAAAAGTACTTATTTTTTAAAGGTTGATGCAACTGAATTGCTTTAACACAGCAAAAAATTATAGTTGCCTGTGTTTTTATAAAGTTCATCATTATTACTGATCAGCTGAACTCTCTTAAAGTTTGTAGATATAAAACTGGGAGTGCAAATGCTTATTCTGGAGAACTGGTGCCATAATAAATTAGAAATGCCAGTTAAACAGCAGGAAAAAGCCTCTTACAGAAGCCAGAAAAGAAAGGGACTTGCTTTAGAGCCTGACAGTGTTCCTTGATTAAAACTACAGTTCATTAAAAACCGTGTCCCAAATGTTTTTGTCACCCAAACAATTCTGCTGAATTGCCAGCACGAACAAAAAGCTTCTAAAAGATGATTTAACCACAGAACAGACACACACCAAAAAACCCAAACTGTGTTTTGCCTCACAATGCTGTTCAACATTCAAGTCACCTCATGTGGTATGGAATTCACATCCATTAATTCCATGAAATATCTCAGGGGCGTTACTTCTGATTAGCAAGTCCTGAGCCCCTC